ATTAGCTAACAACGTGTTGAATCGAAAAAGGGCATACCTCCCACATCATTCAATGAGTGTTACTAGAAGAATCATATTTAGTCAATCAGTTTGTGACTTGATTTCCTTCCCGTAAAGTGTGGGTAAAGAAGAAAGCCTTCTCATGTCTAGAAACATGAATTTTGTTGACTATTGCTACATAAGGATGTCATGGGGGTGATGTCCTCACTTATTAGTTTCAAGGTCATCAAAGAATTCAATTCAAAAATAATCTCTCTGAAACCTACCTCCCACACTAAATGAACACCATGGTAAATACCTAACAACTCTACTTTCATGTTAGTTGTGATCTTGCAACTACTGGAGAATCCTCATAACCATACACCACAATAATGTATAAGACTCCAAACCTTGAATATCCTGGGTTACCAATTGGGCTTCCATTTGTATTAACATTTATTGTGTTCCTAGTAGGCGGTGACTAAGACACCATATGATGATTAGTTTCCAACATGACTAATGTTTATGTTGAAAGATCTCATGGTTCTTGGATATCCATAAAATCCAATAGGCTCAAGGAAAATGAGTATCGTTGTGGCCCTTGATATCCATGATAGTCCATGAAAAGTCATCCGTATTGTAGAATTCCTGGATAGTGTCCATACCAAGAGACCTTCATACTTGTTAAGCACACATACAATCTCTTAGAATGTGAATTATAGTCTCCTCCATTGAGCTATACTTGAAACAAAAAGGGTTAACAGAAACATGTTGCTTAAAGTGAAAGGAATTTATAGGCAAACCCTTTTGAAAAATGAGCCAAAAAAATGTTTAATTATTTTAATTAAATTTAGTTTCTAGATCGAAGTCCAGCTCAGATGAATGGTAGTATCATTGGTAGGTTCTCTAACAAACCATCGATAGGTTGAGCAAACAAAAAAAGCTTTAGTTAGGGAAGGACCCTATATGACCTTGTCCTCTGTATTCTCATCTAACTTAATATTCAATAATTTGGATTTAACCTTAATTGGAATATTCGTGCAAAGAAGCTCCTAATGCCATTGCCCATCCATGATGATATTGTTGATGCATAAATGTGAATCACTGATAAGAATACATTCTATAGAATCACCAAGAGGCCCGTTTCATAGCCATTTATCAAACATAAGAGAAATGTCTCCCTTGCTAACGTGGAACATGAAGGCCTCCTTAATATGATTAAATGTTGTGATGATTGATCTCTAAGTATATGAGAAACCTTTTTGAATAGTAGCATGCATGATATTCATATACCCCTAGATATTTTCCTTTAAGAGTTAAACCCATAACTTCTGCAGTTCATGAATGATAAACCATGAATGCTTACCCATAAAAGCTATGTTGGCTTCCCTTGCCCTTTAGATTGTTAGGCTTCCTAGTGCCTTTTATTTAGTAGTCTCATGCCAATTAACCCACTATGTTGAGGTATTCCCCCCAAATAAAACCACGAACACTTTTATTGATGCTTTCATGTATTTTGTCTGGAAGCCAAAGATTTTGCATAATGAATGTTAGGATAACTGACAACACAAAATTAGCTAAAGTGACTCTTCTTGCTTGGTTCAAAATTTTTGTTTTCCATCCCTAAAGCCTCCCATTTATACTATCCAAAATGAAAGCAAAATCATTGTTCTTGACTATGCCAGATAATAAGGGAAACCTAAGATATTTCCCTAAACTATTGGTACGACTATAGTGAATAATGGACTAATTGGTATGACTATAGTGAGTAATGGACTCAAAGTGAGCAATTTGTTACTTTGAAATATTTTTTGAACCCATGAAATGAGGCTTTTGAATACTTGCCTTTGCAATTGAGGTTAAATGGATTAAGTCATTATTGTAAGAGCTAAAATTACCCATGCCAAGGAAGTCATTCTTCTAGTGTGATAAATTGAGTGCAAAGGCACTAGCCTCCAATCTTGTGATGCGTATTGGGAAAAAATACATAGAGGTTGATGTTCATTTTATTAGAGATCAGGTTCAACTAAACCAAATTAGCATAGCCTATGTCTTGAGTTTTGATCAAACAACTGATTACTTGACCAATTTGCTGCGAGACAAACTTGGTGTGATTGAATCGCCCACTTATTTGAGGAGAGGTCTTAAAGATAAAATGTTATGGTAGATTTGGATATCTTATCCTATTTTCCTCATTATAACAAACTTAATATGTTAGTTTTTGTTATAGGACAAGTTTGAATTTTGTAGATAATTCTTAATCTATTTGTAACGAAAAGATAATTATCTTTTTGATATACTTGTAATTTGTTATCAAGATGCCACATATTTAAACGCAGATTGATCAATGAGAAATTATCTTTTGTTATCTCTCTTTATTTTCTATCTAAGAGGAATCACAAAAGCAGCACAATCCCGTTTGAAATATCCTTCATGTGGGGCAACACAACTAATTAATAAATTCCTATCATCAATAAAGATTTGATGAGGTAAAGTTAGATTTTCTTGGAAAACCACTTAGATATCTAGAACACCTTTCTTAATTATTTGCAACGAGGAATCAATATTCACCAAATTGGAAAAATGAAAAAATAATTTTTGCTCTTCCATATATTATTGCAAGAAACTCCAAAAACAATAAACTAACTAATTGCCTATAATGTGAACTATTGAATTCTTCAAATTAAGAAGTAACTAGTCATACATATCCAAATTGAAGAAAACTATTGACAAATTTAGGGATTCTAAAGAAATCCAAATTTGACAAGTTAAGGAACAATCACGCAAACAATATAAGATAGATTTTGAATGCGGATTGCATAAAAAACACTCCTCTAAGTCAACCATATGTCTTCATAGTATAGCCTTGTTGACAAGCAAAGCATTGTGAGCAGATTTCCTAAGGTTGATCTTGATCCTTTCTACGCCACTTCTAAATAAGATTAAATAAGGGATCATCATTATCACTCACATCGATAATAGACATGTAAGTAGTAGCCAAAGTGAATTCACCACCAACATTAAATTTCCAAGAAAGCACACCATCATCATTAATAAAAACAATAGGCTCTAAAGCAAAAATATATCTTTAAATCACAAGGGGTAAACAACTTGCAACTTCGCTATGTCCCATCCCTTATTTGAATCAACAAAATCAATAGCCTTAATTTGCATGTCACATTCATTGGAAGGAATCAAAGCTTTAAGAAAAGGGCTCTATTAAGAGAGCACCTAATCATCCACCCAAGACTTAGTAGATCGCCCATTACTAAAGTGCCAAACCAAACCCTTAGTAAGATTATCCCAATTGTTGGTGACTCCTTGCCAAAAGTTGGATGCTTGTTTATCCACCTTGGGAACTAGATCAGCCACTCTTATATTTTGATCAAAGAATAGAGGCCCAAAGAGTGGGCCTTTTAGTGATAAGTTTCCAACCAACTTTGAGGAAGAAAACTCTATTGGTTGTTGTAGTTGATCTCAAGACCAAACTACTAGCCTTTTTAAGCTTACACAACTCATCCCAAGCTACAATATGAATTTTTCTTGAATCATCACCTTCACCTTACACAAAAACTTTGACATTTCTTGTCTATAACATAATATAAAGGTTGACTGCATAACATAAGTCGCCAAGGCTTGTAAGACTGATTTAGTGAGCATAACTCTACCAGTCTTAGCATATTGATATGCCACCAACTTTGTCTTCTATTAACCTTGTACAAAAAGAAAGCTAAAAGTTTGTTTAATTTTATTGTGCAAAATTGGTACCCCTAGGTATTTGCCAAGGTCCTCAATACACTAGAAACCACTTCTATTTAGAATATGATTCCAAACATGTTGGCTAATGGCTAACATTTTTGGAGAAGTAAATGTAAGTTTTTTGCCCAATCTCCTTGGCCTCAAAACATTCATAAAATAACACTATTTTCATATACCATTATTTCTGTCACACTATCATATTTTTTATTTAGGTTTTGTTCTTTCTTATTCTACTTGTCCATAAATCACATTATCTTACACACAAAGTGCTAGATTCGAGCCTTAATGTCACTATTATACTCTTTCTTACGGATTAAAAAACAAAATTACATTATCCGAATTGCTCATATTGTTTAGTTAACTATCCATTACTTTTTAATTTCTATTATTTTTATTAATTTATTTTAAAATAAAATGGCACTTCTTGCCTCTTTATTATACAATATATATTATTTTTTGAATGGAATATATTATGAAGTGAATCATAAGAATAAGACCAAAATATATTTTTATTTTCTTAAATATAAATATTTTTTTATTTCTCAAATTTAAATAAATATTTTTAAAATTATTTAATAAATTTCTCTAAAAATACCTATAGAAGAATAAATTAAGAAGAAAAAATTAAAATTATTTTTTCATAAGGTAAAATTAGTTTATGTATAAGGTAATTTATAGAAGTATTTATATTAGTGTATTTGAAAACTTATTTTTAAATAATTTAGAGAAACTAATTTATTTTTTTCTCTTATAAATATTTATAGAGAAATCTTATACGATTGACCATATATAAATCAAAAAACATTTTACAACTCAAACATCATTAATGAATATGCAACATAAAATCTACTAACTATTAATATTTTTATTATGAAAAATATTAAATTAAATTTACACCAACTCTATTTACACATGTTAGTGATGTTGATGGTCATAAAAAAACTAAAATAATATTTTTAAAATAAAAAGAAACTAAAATAATCTTTTGAAATTTATTAATTTGAATTTTAGTGGACCAGAAGCAAACTTACCCAAATCTAAGAAGATTAAAACATTTTTCTAATGATTAAAACCATATTTAACCGTAAGAATATTCTTATTGTTATTACTATAATTTTTATACAGGTTGTATTTATAGTACATTATTGATGATAACACAATCACATGTAATTCAATGTGAGTCATACCGTATATAACAGTGTAGTGACGAAAACACCCCTGTCAAACAACGGGAAAAATACAAAAAACATGGGCAACAGTGTAAAATGACCTTAGTCCAATTCATTGCCGATCAAAACACCGGTGCCTCCTCCTCCTCCATGGCTTCGTACGAACTTCGATTTGGAGCTCACAGCAATACCAAATTCTAACACGCCTTTCGATTCTTCCCCCAATTCTCTCAGCTATTCACGAAACCAATAACAAGCGCCATTGTAAGATTCGATGTATATTTCGCTGTATCGAGATTTTTCGACTCTGCTGTTGTTTCCTTCGCTTTTTATTCAACTTTTAGGGTTTTGATTTTGGACTTCGTAGTGCTTTTCCGCGTTAGCAGGATGGTTCGTGATTTTGATTTTTCTTTTTTTGCATTGTTTCAACCGTTAGGGTTTCTTCACGTGCTTACTGCTCCATGTATGCGCTTTGTTTCTAATTTCTGTTTTTTGTTGAGCTTGTGAACGAACTGAGATTGAGGAAGTGGAGGACAAACAGTATTTGCATGCACGGAGTTGCCAGAACTTGTGAAACAGAAGTTATGTTGTTGATAGATACATCTTTCTAATTTTGTTTTATGTTTGGCTTTTTAGTAGAATGTTTTGTGTACTAAAATTTAGAAGGACAAAATGTATGCTTGGAGTTCAGAGGGCATAGAATTTTTTATTTATTTATTTTTTATACTGCGTGGCCATTGCCTGTATATTGACAGATAATGCATGGAATTGAGGGTTAACGTAGGGGTAGGAGTAGATCGGAGTTAGTGTAGGAAGGGGTATTCATAAACAATGGTGTGCATCTGTTGTCACTAGTTCTGGGAGTGAAACGCAATTGTCTTGATCGGGTTACTTTTAAACTGACAGTTAGAAGTTGTTGATTATTTCTAGTTGAAGGCAACAGTAGTTCTCTTATCTGTATGTTGACTACCTGTTTATGTTGAGAATATGGTAAATGGATAATGGAGTCTAGTTCATAAGTCCAGATTGGTGTGAAGTCACTAGTAGTAATTGGTGTTTGAAGTTGAGAATGTAAGTTATAGCAAGTAGCAATTGGTCTTTGATGTTGAGAGAGACAGTAAGTTACTTTAATTGGTTTGTGTACAGTAGTTGACAAAATTGCCATAGCATTTGTCTAAACTAGTAATCCTGTAGATTTCATCTTGTTGCAAACTTGAGTATTTATGTCTATTAAATTGCATTTCCCTTTGTAATAATTAGGCTGGGTAAAGTAAAATAAATCTGATTTGCATAAGACAAGTTTGTTTGTGTTTTGTATATGAATTTTGATCCATGGTTACAATCAACGTGACTTGCTTTGAAGTTGATGAACTTGTCAGTAAAGCACATTGTTGACTCTGGTAGAACTGGAATGTTTCTTACACTAGGTCAATTCCGTATTTTCCTATGGAGGTCATAACATCGAGTTTTCTTCATTCAATAATCTGCCATTTCAAAAATATCTACATTATATCAAAAGGCTGTCTAATGGTAGTTATTGTTGTCAAGACTAAAGATAAATATATTACATCTGACGATTCCCTAGAAAAAGAAAATTTTACCCCAATGTTTCTTCATTGTTTCTTCATTAAAATGTAACTAAGACAGTTCTAGTAATTTAGAAGAGGGGTAATGTGCTATGAAGATTTTGTATGATCAGTCTTAAAGGTATATTTTCTTTAAACTAGATTTTGTCCTGGAGATTAAGTTTGAAATTAAGTTGGTACACTGTACAGAGAGCTGATAAGATCTGTGTTATAAGAATGAGGACAGGGTCCTTTATAGTTTATAGAGAAGAATGGAGGGGAATAAATAATGTAATTATATCCAATTGTTTCATGACATTTTATGTAAAATGGTGCTAAGGAAAATTCTTGATCATGAAACCTTCTTCTTTGGTGTTTTTTTGTGAGTGTATATTTTAAGTAGTTTTATAAGAATGTTGGTTCTAATAGTGTTTTATTTCCTCTGCATTTGGAGATTTCTGTACACGTTTTTGTCATATATGTAAATGTAAATAATTAGTTTACATGCTGAGTATATTATTACTTTTCACTTCAATGTGGGATGAGTTGGGACTAGAATAATGATATAGAATTGAGTCATTCCGGCAAACTCTATGTGATTTGTTACAAATCCCTTAGCATTTAATGAATTTGAAAATATGTAACGTGCTGCAAATCCCTTAGCATTTAATGAATTTGAAAAAAAATTGTGTTCACCATACAAATTTAGGTGCTTTTGAGCATGAATCCTGACTTGCTATCCCAAGTCTTTTAGTGTGCACATGAATATTTCTATGTCACAGGCTATGAAGTTTGATTTTTCTCTGTTTTTATTTTGATCCCTTCAGGTACATTGTCCAATTGTTTCCCTTGTAATATAGATTTGCCCTTTATGTGCTATTGTCAGTATAGTGCTACATCTCTGTCATGCACGAAGCTGTGTTCTGTGTATTTGGCTCAAGAGATGTGTGGGAATTAGTGCAATGGCAACATCCACCAAGTTTGATATATCTTCTAGCAGCCCAGATAGACCATTGTACATTGGGCAACGTGGATCCCACATAGCTACTTCATTAGATAGATCAAGTAGCTTTCGCGAAAGCATGGAAAATCCAATTCTGTCTTCTCTTCCTAGCATGTCAAGAAGTAGTTCTTCAGCAACACAAGGGGATGTGGTGAGCTTCTTCAATTGTGTGCGTTTTAATCTAAAGTTGGTGGCTCCAGAGCACAAGTCTAATCGTCAAACAGATTATAAACGACTTGTCAGTGCTGCTTTTGGAATTTCATCTGATGAATCTCCATCTAGTTCTGCCAAAGGCAAGCAGCTGCCATCCCCAGTACCAGAAGATATCAAACGACTTAGGGATAGTTTACACGTAAATTTCAGGCGGGCAAGGTAGTTCTTTGTATGTCTTACTACCGGCATTGAAGTTAGAGCTGTTTAATAATGTTGTATTCTTACACAGGGATCGAGCTAAAATGTTCAGTGAAGCCTTGTCTAGATTCAACAAAGATTTCCAAAATATAACTTCAAAGAAGAGGTCTCGAGCTGAAACCTTTTCTAATGAACGTTCTAGTTTCACGTTAAGTGATCGATCTGTGTTGGGAACAAGCATAGGTAAGGTTGGAGTTCAAGGTCATGCAGTCACTGGTGGTTTTGAACATGACCAGCCGAAGTTGGAAGAAAGAACAAAAAATGTTCCAAACAAGCGAACTAGAACTTCTTTGGTCGATGTAAGGGTATGTGTCCTTGTTTTCTTCGTGCTTGTTTGCCAGTATCAATGCAATATTCCATTTTATGCCTCCTAATGTAACTTATTCAGTTTTGTGCCATTCTCATATAAATACTTCATGGTTTTAAATTGTGTAACTATATATAAATCCCTTAGTTGTAATATTCAAAGTGTTTGTTTGGAACATGGAGTCCTATTTCAAATTTTCTTTTACAAAAGTTGCCTACTAGAATATTTTCTCTCGATTCTTAGATATACCATCTTGTGCTAGAAATCTATTTTATATATCCCTCAGTCCCTCAGTTCCCAGGAGAAAGTCTTAATGTTACTTTGTTCAATAACTCTTTGCATATATTAAATTTTATAAATCCAACCGATAAATATCTTGATAATATTTGAACAATTATGTACACCAAGTTTTAGATAAATCAGACTTATAATTGTCATTTTCTTATATTTTAAAAAAGTGTATTAAATGTTAAATTGAATTTATTTTATGTAGTATTAAAGACCTTTTAAAATTTTATAAAAATTTATAGACTTGATCTATCTAATCAGAACTTTTAATTTAATGGTTAGATTATAAATATTTAATACATACAAAGAGTTATTGAACAGAGTAATTTTACCTAGAGTTACTTTTGGAGTAACTAGATCTCCAGCCATATATATATATATATATATATATATATATATAAATACTTGTATATATTCACTTTTATTTCATGAACTTTAGGTTTTTTATGCATTTCTCATTGCTTCTTTGTAATTGTCAAATTATAAAGTATTCTGTTTTATTTTGCAATTTTTCTGGTCTAATGAGGCATATGAGTATGTCTTGTGGCTGTGACTCAACAACTGTTTTTACTTCTCTTCATATGGGAGATTCTGATTTCAGATTACCTTGGTTTGCTTTAAAGTCTGTTGAGCAAAACTGACTTGGGTTTGATAAATTCTAGATGGATGTGCAGAATAATTCTCTTGTCAGGCCATCTGGGACTATAGATAGAGATAAAGAAATTTTACGGATTGCCAATAGTGCTGTGATTCAGGGTGAGGAACGACCTTTACCAATCGGAGGTGATGGGTGGGAAAAGTCAAAAATGAAGAAGAAGCGTTCAGGCATCAAACCAGACGGGTCTCAAAATACAGCATTGACAAAACCTGTTAACCTTTTCCAGGAAAGTAAACACAGAATGCAACATAGAGTAGCCACTGATGGTCGATCAAAATTGAGTAATGATTCTCATTCTTTCAGGTAAGAATATATTTGTATGTATTTATACTGTTTTGGACATAAATAGCTTATATAGGCTCTCTTGCTTCCCAATAATTTATTAGTGTTGCTTGTAATCAGATATTCAGTTTCCTTATTATTAGCCTTTGATAGGATAATTTACTCAATCCAATATGTACAATCAAGATAAGATTACTTTATCTTTTAGATAAGATTAATTTATCATAGCATCTACTTGTATATATGTAGGTATACATGCTGTAAATCATTCATTGAGTAATATGGATTTAACTATTAGCTAGTAAAACGATAAATAAATTAATTTATGTTTTTTATATCTGAAAATGAAATTGAAAAACAAAAAAAGATTAAAAGTTTTTGAAGATTTAGGAAAGTAGCAAGACTCATGTATGGGGAATGTCTGCTTATTACCTTTTTCTGGTTATGTATTTATGTATCAATAAATCTTCTCCCCATTATCCATGTCAAGATTTTAAATTTTGTAGCAATAAATAAATAGATTTTGGTTAAATTGAAAACATGCTCTCTATATTGACACATTTTTCATTTTAGTCCCTAATTTGGTTCCTACAAAATTAGATGCTTACTGATCTATACTTGTTTGCCAAAATTAAAATGGTGTCTAGAGTTTTTTTTCCCCAGTATAGGGACCAAAACGAAGTATAAACTTTTTTCATGTAGGGACTAAACAAAACCTTTGTCAAGAATAGGGACCAAAATCTAACACTGTTATTGGTGGGGGACCAATGTGTAAATGCCTTCCCATTTAGGGACCAAGATGTGGGTTTTTCAAATAGGACTAAATAAAAAAAGTGTCAGATGTAGACCAAATTATTAATTTAACCATAAATTTATTTATTTATCTGCCAACAAAAAGCCTGCCACCCACAGTTGGCAAATAGCTGAATCCCTTAAGCATGCTGGCAATATTCATTATTGGTCATGCTATGGAAAATATTTTGTTGGGACAGATGGAACCCATTTTGGTGATTTCTATGGCTTGGAGGGCTTAGTCTTTGGCTGTCTGTGTGATACCCTTGATTCATTCTAATAAAGACTTTAATTTGCTATGGAACTTAAGTCGAGGGGGAAAGCTTTAGCGTTAGTTATTAGGATTGAAGTTTTCATGCTTAAATTTCATTGCAGAGCAGGTTCAAGTATTATTGCCGTATAGTGTTTATACTAGTCTGATGTAATTACTGATTATATCTTTGTTCTTTATGTCTTATTTCTCCAATGCCAATATGTAGATTACTTAATAGAGCAGTTTATATCAACAATTATTGATAAAAGGTTTAGCCTTTAAGATTTTAGACTCGATATAACGATGCTCAACAATTCCTTTACTCATTCATTGTAAACATTGTATTTTGCAAATTTTAATTTTAAATGATTTGTTTCTCTAGTATCATTATTATATATTAGCAATTTTTTACCAGTGGTATACACATCTAATGCTAGATAATAAGTACTGATGTAATAGGAATCACACATTATTTGTTAGGATAGATATAACTCCCTTGTTCTACCCAGTGTTTTAAATCCCAGATAGTGCCATAGAGGTGCATAGTGGCCTGTCCCAAAATGTTATAGTGGGATTGTAGATAGTGGGATAGCTGCTATTTTGATTTTTTTTATATTTAGTTTATATGATTTATACTACTTAGTTCTACCAAATACCAATGGTAATTTATTGAATCTCTTCCTCCTATTATAACAAAAAGATGGAAATGAAAGAAAATAACTGAGAGGCTTTTAGGTTCTCTTTGCATATTGTGTTAAATGAGATAGCGATTGGGGCTTCTCAACATATTGTGTTAAATGGTGAAAGGCTTCAAACCCATTTGTAGCTGAAGTGATAAGAAAATATAGTTAAGAATTGTGCTTAATTCTCTCCAATTTCAAGGATCTTCAATGGAAGATATCATGTAACAAGATGTTTTTTTGTGTGTTTAATGCCTGCTGATTTATCTTTCTTCAATATATTATAGGCTATCATATAATACTTTCGAGTGTCCTTTGTTTAGGTTGGGGGTTTCTAATGGAACTGTTGGAGCTGGAAAATCAGATGGTGTCACTCAACAAACAGGGTTGGGCATACGCGTCTCTACCCCAAGAAGTGACCCAGAAAATAATTCTGCTGTCAATGATAGACGAGATCGTCCTGTTAATTCAGACAAGGAAAGGGTGAATTACAGAGCTGTTAACAAGTAAGCAAACTGTGGAGCTCATTTCTTGTTATGATTTATTTCTTTCAAAAAAAAGAAAATTACTTATATAGTTGAAAACAATTTTTTCTTTATGTTGCTTTCTCCTTGATTTCTTTGTTTTGTTCATTTGCTCCATTTCAGTTATGAATCCTAATGTATTATGATTTGTATTCATAGCCCTTTTCTCTGTCATGATATGTATCCTACAATTGATAATTGATTAGATGTTTTGGGATAAGCATCTGATTTTAGGATAATATATTAGGTATTTGGCTTGCATATGATGTAAATCACATGGCCTTTGTAAATGGGTATTCCCTAGACCCTTACAAATATGAAGGATGGGGTATTATGTTGATATTTATCATTTGTTGTTTACTGTTTCTTCTCTTCTTAAGAATGATTTCTTATCCTGCTTTCCCTTTGCAATTTTCTAATTGGCTTAATAAATTTATTGTTTAAATAAAAGATGTATTCTATGACTGATAATTGATTTTATCTTTACAATTGTTTTATACCCAGGGCAACTGTTCGCGATGAATTTAATTCAGCAAGCCCTAATTCAAGTGCAAAATTGAATACACCTATTCGGGCGCCACGATCAGGCTCAGGAGTTGCCCCAAAGTTGTCACCAAGTGTCCATAGAGCAGCTGTTCCCAATGATTGGGAGCCATCACATTGTACATCCAAGCCCCCTGCCAATGTCGGTACTAACAACCGTAAGCGTATGACATCAACAGGATCATCTTCCCCATCTGTTGGCCATTGGCAAAGGCCCCAAAAGAGCTCCCGCACTGCCAGAAGAACAAATTTTGTGCCCATTGCATCAAGTAATGATGATTCCCCTGCTTTGGATTCTGCATCTGATGTGACTGGTAATGATCTTGGATCAGGATTTGTCAGACGTTTGGCTGGCAATTCTCCTCAGCAAATTAAATTGAAAGGTGATTCTTCAACTTCAGCTGCCTTATCGGAAAGTGAAGAGTCAGGGGTGGCTGAGATTAAACCAAAAGAGAAGAGAAGGAAAGCAGAGGAGATAGATCAGAAAGCTGGACAAAATGTTCAGAAGGTTTCTAGCTTGGTCCTTCCAACTAGAAAAAATAAGCTTGTCTCCGGGGAAGAATATGGAGATGGTGTTCGGAGGCAAGGTAGGACAGGACGCAATTTTCCCACTTCAAGGTCGCTGATGCCAATGGCATCTGAGAAGCTTGGAAATATAGGGACTGTAAAGCAACTTAGAAGTTCAAGACTAGGACTTGAGAAGAGTGAAAGGTTAAAATACTTCTATCTAAAAATGTATTGCTTAGGTTGACAATTTGTTTGGCACACAGATTGAAGCTTATGCTTCTGAGTTCTATGCAGCAGGGCAGGTCGTCCACCAACCAGGAAACTTTCCGATCGTAAGGCATATGCACGTCAAAAACATACAGCAATTAGTGCATCAGCAGATTTTCTTGGTACTAGTTTCAGCTTCTAGAAAAGAATAATGAACTCAACTCTTATATGTAATACAAGTATATCATTAATCACGTTTGGGTTCATTTTTTTAGTTGGGTCAGAAGATGGACATGAAGAATTATTGGCTGCTGTAAAGGGTGTTATCAACTCTGGTTTGAATCTTACTCAATTTGATTAAATATGTTTTTAGTCCATGGACTTTTTTCAATTTTTGTTTTTAGTCTCTAAACAAATTTTTTACTAATTTAAGCCACCAAACTTTGCGGATTTTCATTTTTAATCTTTGAACTTTTTCTCCCATTAACATTTTGGTTCCTAGCATCAAATTTTTTTGTTCATGTAAAGAGTTTCAGGAACTAAAACCAAATAAAATTTTTTCAGGGACTAAAAACAAAAATTGACAAAAGTTCAGGGATTAAAAACATATTTAATCCTACTAAATTCTATCTAACTGTGTAGACTAAATACTCTTTATCTAATGGTGTAGTTCTGTATTTTCTTATTACTGCAGCTCGTGCATTTTCCAGCCAATTCTGGAGGCAGGTGGAGCGTTTCTTTTGTTTGATAAGTGAGGAGGATATGGCTTACTGGAAACAAAAGGTACTAATCTTTTCCCTATTGGTAATTATGAGTGATATTTATTTTTGTATTTCGAAGAGTTTGTCTTAGATCAGTGATCAGCATGACTCATGTCATACTTCAATTATGGTGCTTTTATATGTAAGAAAAGGCAGTTTAGCAATGCTTCAGATTTGTGTTGGTGTGCATAATATTACAGCCCTTATGCATCCTTTTGGTTATTCTGGCATTAGAATTCATTGTTTTTGCTATAAATGTTTCTGTCCTAATTCTGTATGTAACTATGGCCATTATGTTATCTGTTATATTTATTCCTTATATGCATGCATGCACACACACACAGTGCAATACATTATAGTTTTATTAATATTGGTGATTAAAGCATGATTTAATTGATCTTAATTTCTTAGAGATGCCTATCATGGGAACAAATATTTAGATTTCTTTAATAATACATTCATCTTTCAGATAGATGTGGAATCAAGTGGATTGACTTCAACTCCAGTTCCTACACATAGAGATGACTGTGAAGCTGTTGCTAATGTTGGGTTAACTGTCTGTGAAAGAGATTTTGAACCTGGTGATCCTAAAGGAGATTCTAATGGAATTCCCCTCTGTCAAAGGCTAATATCTGCTTTAATTTCAGAGGAGTGTAGCAGTGAAGATATCAAGTTTGATTCATGTGATACTGAATCTGAGGCAGATGGAGAGTTGGATTTGTGCAGTCTGGATCACCACTCTCGATTTAATTCTCATCTTGCTTGTCATTCTACTTACAACGGTTATAGGATAACTAGGAAGTCGGGACATGATGAGACTGAAAGTGATGTAGTTGATATCTCATCAACTGGGTTTAATTCAAGCCAGAACATGCCTACCTTGATCTGTTCAGAGTTGCAATATGCCACCTTGGGTATGAATGAAAAGCTTATCTTGGAGCTTCAAAGTATTGGAATTTTCCCAGAATCAGTGGTTAGCTTACTTTCCTTAGATGTTTTTTTTGCTGGTTTTCTTGAAATCTCAATATTGGGAACGATATCAGATTTGATCAAGTTATTTTGTTCTAGTTTATTCTGTAGTTTCTCTAGCCGTCTACTCATCAGAAGACATAATGAATTTATTTCAAGATGTTCTGTCTGTTGTTAAACCTGCTGTAGGTTTTGTATGATACTTATTGTTTTCTCTTTTGTTTTTCAAGCCTGAAATCTTGCAAACAGATGATGAAGGAATTTGTCAGGATATCACTAGGTTAGAGGAGCATTACCAAGGACAGGTACCAACTAATGCTGAAGCCAAGCTATAATATTCTAACTGCTAATCATCTAAATGATATTTTTCCCCAATGTATTTTCATCTGTTATACAACTTTTCAGGAAATAGATATTTTTGTTTTCCAACTTTTATGTAAATATACAGATCAGGTTGAAAACTGGACATCTGATTTTTATAGATAAAACATAGAACCTAACAAAATCGTTTTTGATCTTACATAATTCACCTTTTGATTTTATTTTCATATATATTGTAGATGTCCAAGAGGAAATGCTTGCTAGATGGATTATTGAAATCTGCTTCAGTGACAAAAGAACATAAAGAAAAGTAAGTTCTCTACCATTTATTCCCTGATTATGTACTTAATTTAAACTTTTGTGCTGATTGTTATGAATGAAAATACAATCTCTCCATTAACAGGGACTTTGAACAACGTGCTCTTGACAAACTTGTCGTGATGGCTTATGAGAAATACATGGTAACCTTATTGGCTTATTCTTCAATATTACTTTTTGTGTATAATCAGGTTTACAGTTTTTGAATATTTTTTTTGCATTCTAGGCAACTTTCTTCAAGTGCAAGAGTTGTATTAGAATAGTTGAAAAGGTTGAGAATCTTAAAACAAGACTAATGGATAGTATTTATAGAGTTGGAACATGGTCTATATATCTGATTATCCAGGTATAAGAATGGAGGAAGTAGAAGGGACACTCATTAAGAAGTGTATGGGGCTATGTTCTGTTGTATAGTAGTTTGTGACTGTGTAGCCTTAAATGCAGTTGCTAGAATGTATCATACACATAATTGTTTGTGATCTGAATGTCCTAATAAGACTTGGATTGGGTGGTGAGGTAACAACAGCATGAAAACTTACCATGCAACCGGAAATGGAAACTCTCAACCTTGTCTTACTCTGCCCTATTAATTCAGACTTGTGACATTTTTTGACCTATTCTTATTTTAGTATTTACTTTTTATCTGATAGACCAAACTCCATGCTCTGCCTTATTATGTTGTATGAACTATGAAGTAATTTAAATTTTCTAGGAAGAGAATTTGAATGCTCCATTGGTTAATAGATACTATCATATTAGAAAGTGTTCCCTACTTTATAAATATGGTGTGTGGCTGAGTGAATTGACAATAATTGGTTGGCAGGCTTGTTGGGGTCCCGGCTCATCCGGTGGGAAAAATTCAAGCAACAAAATTGCCAAGCAAGCTGCATTGGGACTTGTTAAACGAACATTGGATCGATGCCATCAATTTGAAGATACAGGCAAGAGCTGCTTCAATGAGCCTTTGTATAAGGATATGCTCCTTGCTGCTTCTGCCCAGCTAAGTATTGTTCAGCATTTAGATGGCATGGAGGCTGAGTCCACAAAACCTTATACTTCTTCCTTTTCTCTGGAAGCAAGAACTGGTATAATCCTCAATTATTTTTTGAGTAAATATTCTAATATAATTTTTTCTATCTTTGCCGTGTTCTGTATGAGCATTTTAGCCTAATTTCTCTGATGGCTTTAACTTTATATGCCATCTTCTTTGTGAACTTGAACCTTTTCTTCCCCAATCCTGTCTCCACAATAAATTACTGCCAACTAAAACAAAAAAGTTCTACCAGCTAAGAGAGAGGTAACTGCCAAATAAGAGAGGTGTAATTTTTGTTTTAGTTGCCAATATTGTATTGGGTACAGGTTGGGGCATAGGAAGGGGACAGATGATTAGAGTCTATTCCTTATCTTAACTGTTATATCAAGTTCTGTTCTCCCCTCTTTTGTTCCTGAGTATTATATTTAACTCATGTTTTTCTATCTGCAGGTTCCATGGGTTCACAGCAGAACCCTTCACAATTTAGTCAGAATATAAATAATCATGATCTCTATTCATCAGATATTTCTGCTGCTATAAATGGTTCATCTGAACAAACTAGTGGGAAGGAAGATCTATGGTCAAACAGGGTGAAGAAAAGGGAATTGTCCCTTGATGATGTTGTTGGTACTATTGGTAGTTCAGGTGCTCCATCAGGCACTGGAAGTTCTCTATCAAATAGTACTAAAGGGAAGAGGAGTGAAAGAGATAGAGATGGAAAAGGGCAGAGCAGAGAAGTGCTTCCCAGAAACGGAACTACCAAAGTTGGTAGGCCAGCATTATCTAGTGCTAAGGGAGAAAGGAAACCCAAAACAAAGCCTAAGCAGAAAGCAACTAAGCATTCTGTTTCTGTAAATGGTCTCCTTGGCAAGCTATCAGAGCAACCTAAAACAGCTTTGTCTTCTGTTTCAAAGTCTAATGAAATGTCTGCTAACAGCACTGCCAAGGAGAAAGATGAGTGTGGCATGAGTGAATTTGATGAGCATGAACCTATCGATTTGTCCAACCTCCAACTTCCTGGAATGGATGTGCTTGGTGTTCCCGATGATCTCGATGACCAAGGTCAGGATCTTGGTTCATGGTTGAATATTGATGACGATGGATTGCAAGATAATGACTTTATGGGACTTGAAATTCCCATGGATGACCTTTCAGACTTGAATATGATGGTTTAAAACTGCTTTCTTTGTATAGTAATGTTCATTATACCAGTGACAAAGGAAACAAAGTACCTTTAAGAAAAGACTAGTTACATAGGATGGTTTTATGGCTAATCCTGTCCTCAATTAGGTTATATATATATATATTCTTTGGTAGACTTCCTTCTCCAAGTTGTTTTTAATGACCTATCCAACTGTTTTGGATTTTGCTCATGTTGAAGTTCGTGACTTCCATTGTAAAGATATTTTTGTTCTAGGTACAAGTAAGTATTCCTAGTGATTATATGTTAGCAAACACCGTATCCTGGTTGTAGCTCTTACAAAACAGAGAAAAGGGTTCTGTACATACATTTAATATTTCTAATAAAATCAGCTTCCATTTACTGAAATGACCTGGCTGGCTACTCTCCATATTATCCCCTCCCCCTCCCCCTCCCCTTCCCCCTCCCCTACAGTTTATTTTGGTACTTGTGTTTTGCAGGTTCAGTTCCTCCGCATGATGCTGTTCAAGTTGTTTTACTGGGCTTCATTCAGGTGTTCATGCAGATTTCCCCGCCAAGGCTCAGGGAAAATTTGGTAACGGATGGTAACGTGACCATTTATGTTTCGTCAGATCTTCTCTCTGGACAGTTGCTGTCCTGCTTGTGATTTGCATATGACAGATTCTGGTTATCTATAATTATCATCACTGGCTATCTAATGGTGATTTATTAGCTGCCATTCCAATGCCCTTTTCCCCCTCTGATCTTGTAAATAATCTATTTGTTGAAGGTTGTGCCAAGGAACTTCAGAAGATTGCAAGGGCATCTTGTAGAAACTTTTCTCAAATGTTCTTGATGATCCAACTTTCTGAGAAATTAATATGCAAAGGAATTTTGTTATCAAAACTGGATTGAACTGTTCCTTTTACGTAGGGAGGTAAGCTTTAAATTTTTCCTGGTCTTCCTGACTCATTTTTTATTTGTAGATATTGTAGTAAAATACCTTCGGCTATATGATCAAAATTACTTGGATATTATCCATGGATGATGATTAAAAGTCTAATACCACACTTGTATGATTTTCTCCTGTTGGAAAGCCGCCTTAATTTGTGGTCACCCCTAGGCTGGAAAGGCTTACTTCAGATGGGCTGGCCAGAAAGATTGAATTAAGCATCCTAGAGTGCAGCTCCTGGCATGCGTCATTTTGGTGATTTAGTCCAACATTGACTAAAGCCATGGCTTAAGTACATCTTACAGAGTTTGTTATAAATAATTTTTGTGAAGTTGAATTAGGCCTTAGGTGGGTCATCCTCTATGTCGGTGTGTGTATACGTGTGTGTGTGTGTATGGCATCTGCTTTCAACACTTGTTTCAGTTTTTCTGTGACATCTGCTTCAAATTTAATAAATTTGCATCATTGCATGCACTGGAAAAAGTTGATCTGTGGTTGGATTTAATTAGATAATAACAGTTTATGCGAGTTGACACTTGACAGTACGTTTATCTCCGAGCCCGTTTACCATTTGCTCTTACCTCTGGGTTAGCCTCCATGAGTATGATATCGACTTCACATCATTGTAGCTTTTAATGTGCAGTCTCTAAAACCGGTAATTCAATATGGTTTATTAACTTTTTCCTTTGATAATTTTTAACATTTATTTTGTCAGCATTAAAATAATATTTGGTTATCGGAAATCACAATCAATAAATCTAAATTAATTCTTGATTGTTAATTTTAGAATATTGAGCTTTGTTCATGGGCCAAAAATATTGTTAGATCAATTTGGAAAATAATAAGGTAAGAAGAATAGTCTCCCTTTCATAATCTAAACACGACACCAATCACCAAGTCTCTGGCTTCCCATTGTATTGGTCAGGTGTCAACCACCATCAATACCCAAATGATTCTCTGAATATATTACACCGTGTACCTCCTAAAGAACGACGTAAGAAAAAAAAAATGGATTAAAAAGATAAATCACCACGTTGCAAGTGCAAATTGACCCACCAATATGTAACATGCATTTTTTAAGATTGACACACCCAAACCCAATCAATTAGTTGCAAATTGTTTAAATCCTTTGTTCATCAATTATATTGCTAAGTGAGGGGATATCCCCTATCATAGCCCCACAAGACGCTGAAAATCAGCAATAAACCAGTATATCAATACTCAAAACTAATTGTGTCCCACCGGTAACTGTCCACCCTTTATGTTCCACGTTAAATTGTTTCTTTATTGAAACAATTAAATTTAATAGTTTATATAAACTATAGATATGTTGTTCTCGACGAAATTTTGATAGTCTGTGAGCAACAAATAATATAAGGTTGGACTAGTCGTGTGCTCTCAGTAGAAAGAAAGAAGGCACAACGCAAAATGCTTCCAGTAATTGTGAGATAGTGTGGGTTGTATTGTTGAGATATAAGCAAAGTATCCGAATGGAGGAGAAATATGGTTTACAAGCACACAAAGTTTCTATTGGAATAAGATTATTTTGGGAGATAACCAAAAACAAATTTACGAGTTTACATCGAAAGTGAAAAATATCATACTAATTTGAGAACGTATGTGAATATTCATGTACAACAAGATGTCAAGCTCTTTTGATTAAGATATATCTTTACCTAACAAATACAAAACACAACCCATTATTGGTATTAGAGTTGAATACAAAACAATCCAAAATGCAAATAAAGTTTCACATATTAGGAAAAGAGAATAAACATGAGTATATAGGTGCATAAAAAATCTATTGGTATAAGTCACGAGAATTTAGATCCAAAGCGAATAATATTATACCAAAGTGAAGATATGTGTGAATATGTGGTGTACAATAAGATATCAAGTTCTTTTGATAAAAATATATCTTCACATAACAAATATTTGCCCATTCGAAAGAGAAATGATGATGAAGGGATAAAAAATGTCATGTGATTAGTAAATTAAATAATTACACAGTTAAATTTAAAGAAAATGAAAGGTTGGGAAATGGATTAAGTGTTGAAGTAAGTGAATTTCTCATCCCTCTATATTATTTATATATAAAGTCAAGTTTGTTGATACTAGATGTTAATGTTAGTGAAATTATACCTTAATTAGTTTTTATGTAAAATGCAAATTTAAACAACCTAACCATTGTATTTGATTTTCTTATTAATTAGATAAATTATACAAAATTTTATACAATTACAAAAATAATTGGTAGTTTATTTCATTATTTTATTTTAATGTATAATATGATTTTCAAAATATACATAAATATTCATTAGTAGATAATATATCTAGAAAATTTTAAATTATGTAAAATTTGATATACATGATCATGAGTGTAATAACACATAATTCAACAATTAAATTGGTGATATTCACATACTACAAAGTTATTGGATGTGTCCAATAGGATTTGAACCTATGTTGAAAGTTTAAAAGATCTCTATCCTATCCATTAGACAATGGATGCTTTTTTTCTTCTTTAACCTTTTTTAGTTAATAAGGTTAAAGAAAAAAAGAAATTCTATTATTATTTGGGTTGGACTTTTCTTTTTCTTTCATTCTTTTATTTAAATAAACAATCCATTTATTCATATATAATTAATATAACTAAAATGAATTTAATGACTATAAAAAACCATTCTTTTTCTATTAATGTAGAGTTAAACATTCATTTTGAAATATTGAATTCCTAGTTACTTATCTATAACAATAAATAAAGTCAATACAATATTTTTATGTACACATTTCGTTATGTCTTTTTTACCCTTTTTATCACATTATTTTTTTGTTTTCTTTTATCAGTAAGGGACAATTTAGTAACTTTTATTTATCATATTAATTTAATAAGTAATTAATTAATTAATATTAAATTACTCCACAACTTCCCCCAACCATTTATCAACCTCCATTACAACATGATACAATGTGATTTTTCACCTTAATGGAACTACTAATGCAAAAAAAAAAACATTTTTTTAATGCATAAAATTATAACTGTCTCACAATTTAACTTAAATAAATTGTTATTTATAGTTTATAAACAAGTATGTTTATGTCATATATATAGAGATACAAAATGTCTCGAACTTCCTAGTTTACATATAATATGTATAATATTAATTGAAGAAATTTAAATATTGTTTACAAATGATAAAATGTTTAAGTTATTCTATATTGTTGTTAGATAGTATTTTTAAGGAATGTGAACATATGGGCTTTTATTTAGAGTGATTGTTACCCTATGGATGTTATTTTCGTACATTTGTTTTACTATGTTATAATGGATAGAGCTATGCCTACCTTATGTAATATGTTATAATGGGATAGAGCAGAGACTAGGATATAGGAAAAGAGCAAAGACTAGGATAAAAAACCTTACCTGACTCATGGTGATGGAGAGCAAGATGTGAGTGACCATTTTCAGATTCTCCTAGTGAATTCAACTAAGCACTTGCGGTGTAAAGTGAAAAATAAAATCAAAGGGGAAAAAATATAGCAAGAAGCAACACCCTAAAAAGTACGGAGCAACACCCTAAAAAGTACTATGTGAGGATTCGAAAAGTGGATATTTTAAACAAAGCTCCATGAAAGTTCCATATAAGCTACATGTACTAGCTTTTCTATAAGCTACTTTTTATTTGTTCATAAAAGTTATGCTATTTTTTTAAGGGCATTTATTAATAAGTTTTTGGTCCAACTTTTACTTATAAGTAGAAGTTAAGTTAAAATTAAGCAAGCCCAAACATACTCGTGGACTAATATCAGTGTGTTTTAAATGTTTTAGATATTTACCGGTCTTTATTTGTGGTGGTTACAATTTCTTGGTGCTAGGTTCTTCTGTCACATGAAAAGATTGGTTTCCAATATGTTTGAAAAGTATCATTTTAATTGCATATATTATTAATATTTTTAAACACACATATATTTGCAATACATACTAACTTATTAAATTTCTAACTTATTATAAATATAACTTATTAAAATTATTATTTATTAACATTATAACTTATTAGATACTACTGTAGTAGGTCAAAATTGAATTCCTTAAAGTGTGTTTGTTTTTAAGTTACGTTAAACATAAATAAAAAGTAACACATTAATTGCTTTAACTTTTTTGTATCGAAAAGTGAAAAATGTCTGTTTAACTTGTTTTGAATGGATTTCCAAACACATTTAAAAAATATTTTTCAGTAAAAAAATCTTTAAAGTTCCTTAAAAAAGAGTAATATGATTTGATAGGTTGTATTATATAATCTAAACACTAGAACACATTTAAACTCTCTTGTAAACATGAGAGAACCAGATATTCAAAAGAAAAATTGAGGGAAGAAATTGCCGCAATCCATCCCCTCTTCAAGAGAGAAACAAAGAGAGTGAGGGAGAACACCGTATTCACCTTGTCTCTCTTGACTCTCCGAAACCCTAACCAAAGTTAACATGGATCGATGGAGCTTCTTCTCGTTGAGGCCTTTCCAATCCCATAGTTTCTGGTAGTCGTAATCTTTCCGATTTTCTCTTTTACTTTCTTTTTCACAATTTCGGTACTTCTGTATTTTCTTTACTCTCTGATTTGGACGCAGGCCTTTTCATGAACCATTAAGAAGACTGGGGCGCTATGTTAACGGTTTAGTGTGTTGTTGAAGCAATAGAGAGTTGTGGTTCAAAGGCGATGTGGATGGTATTCACAAGGTGTTGGAGTCTGGTGTTAGTGTCAATTTCAGGGATATTGATTATCGCACTGTTCTTCATGTAGGTCGTTGAGTTTTTGCTCCGTAAAGGTGCCAAAGTTGACGCCAAGGATCGATGGGGAAGCATGGTAATAACAACTTTTTTTTTTTTTTTTTTTTTTTTTTTTTTTTTAATTTTTGATTTGATTTAGTACCGTAAGTGATTGTGAATTTGTGATTTGATGTTTGGCTATTGGCATGGTTTGGTTGTGTTGTTAATTCTGGTTTCGTGTGTGACAAAAGCCAATAACATTGGCATAGATTTTGTTCAGGGAAGGTCTAAAGTTTGGCTTCAGCCTTATCTTGATTTACTATTGTTTGACTAGTCATATGCTTTATCCTTTTGAGTGTATTTATTCTGTGGATTGTAATGCTCGAATAAATGATAGGATGTGTTGTAGATTAAGTTAGAGGCATTTTGTGGACATAATTGTGTTGCACTTTGCACGGGGCGGTTGACTAATTGTCTAGGCTTGAGTTTCTTTTATTGGAACAAGTTTAAGCCTTTAAGGGTACGCTTGAGTAAACTTCTCCATAATCACTTATAAAGAAAAAACAATTAGGAAGTAAAATTGAAATAAACTTTATTATAAGTTAAAATCAACCTTATACATAAATTAAAAATAAGATTTTGGTGAAGTGAATAAAAGAAAACTTATACAAATTAGTTTATACATTAGCTAATTATAGCTTTTGGAAAAATTTATTTCATTTTATCTTCCTATTTTTTTTATCTCCTAGAAATGTTTTTGGAGAAGATTATCCAAATAAGCCTTAAGTTAGCTTCTCCTCTTATCAAAAGGACCTTGATATTACATTTGGTTACACTAGCGTTCATTTGACAGGGTGTTTCCATATCTGAATTTCGAAAGCAAATACTTGTATTGCGTGTTGTCTTCACGCTTGCCTGGTTAATAAAAATTGTATGACGGGAGTAAATGTCAAGAGGATATAAGTGAAGTAAAACATTGAAAATGTGATTGATCTGGTGGTGTAAATTGTACTAGGTTTCTTTCTGCTTGATGTGTTGGACTATTAATTGTAATTGTCCTTATCCTTAGTTTAATTCCTAATGAAGTGATAAGAAGTTTCTGCTTAAATTTTTTTGTAGTCTTGTCTACAAAATCCTCATTTTCCTCTTCTTTGTATTCTGTAGTGATTGTTCCATGGTCTTCTATATGGGCTACTTTTGATTTTTTTTTTTTTTTAATACCAAAAAGGCATTAACATTTTATTGTGTGAATTGGAAAGCAGGGAAGGAGGAGCAGCCTAGGGATGATGTTGTTGTTGAAGATGAAATTAATGGTGGGTTTCTATTGGATCTTCATATTTGGATATAGTTTATGATCTTGATTCAGGTTCTGACTCTGACGGTAAATTATTTGACTTTGATTTTATGTTTTGTTCGATTCTTTTATTAGATATTACTTTTGAATTTTGACTAATATTTTTTTCTTTTAGCTTTTTTGTACAGAACAAATAGATAATGGTTGCAATTATTTTTCTCTTAAATGCCAAATGATTTTTCAGTTTCATTTTTTTTTTTCATTTAGGGTTTAGATGGATATTAATTTTTTAAATAACTCCTAGAATTCCAGTCAAAAACAAAAAATTTGGTTGAGTGTCTGTTAATCAACTGAATCTAATAGTCCTTAGTAAAGATTAAAACACATTTTGTAATCTTATACTTTCTTGGAAAACTTAACCTCAACAATTTGTCCTAGGCTTGCCAATTGCATGTTATTCTTATAATCTGCCTTTTAGAAAATAGCTTAGCAGTAAGCATGAGGAATACTTTCCAATCTTTAACAGAAAATATGATGCATGATTATCTATTCCACTAATTGCTCCAAAGCCAAAGCTAAAGAGTAGAGGGCTATGTAGGGTTAGCTTGTTATCTTCACGAGATGTTGCACACATGATAATTATAAACTAGCAAAAATGCCCTCTTCTTTAAAGACAATCTTTGTTAATAGTTATGTGTTGTTTATAAGTAGGTTCACTTTCGCTAAATAATGTTTCAGTTTACTATTATACTATAAATAATTGTTAATTATTTTTGACAATGTTCCTACTTTTTTGTTCGTTTCACAAATGCATATTTCCTATTGGTTGTAGCAGCTGTTGGCTTGAAGTGAAAAAGGCTTGAGATCCCACAAGATGTCTCACAAGATTACACTATTTTAGTTGTCCTAGGTACGTGCCAAATTCCATAATGATTTTCTTGCCATCTCTAAATGTAACTTGAACGTAGTATCATTAAGGGGAATGGAGCATACATAATTTTTTGTTAAAATTATTTATAAATCATACTCAATTGCAGTACCCATCTGATTTGTTTTAATTTTCTTAGTTTTTTTTTTTTTTTTTTCTTCTGCTTTCTAGAATGCTGAAGATGTATTGCCTCTATGCTAATCTCGTAATGTTTCTACCATGCTAATCTTGGGCATTTCTTATGCTTAAAACCTAGCAGTTCTATCAATAAATTCATTTTATTAATAGTTTTTATTTATTTATTTATTTTTTATCAATTTAGAGTTTAATTATTTATTTTAAATGTCAATAATTTATTAACATATTTTTTTTATTACAAATATTTTTTATATCTTAAAAATATGAATTAAAACTGATATAATAAAAATTTAATGAAATTAGCAGATAAAATATTATCCATTACTTAACATACCTAAATTATTTGAAGATATAGAAAAAATATATTATCCACCGAAAACAACAAAAGAAAGAAAATAATTAAAAAAAATTAACAAATACTATCCACTTAAATAAAAAAAATATTATTAAAACTAATAAATTTAAGATGAAATTGATAATTAATTTTCATTAATAATTATGAAAATATTTTAATCTAATTATTTTCATTATTTTTATATATATTGATTTTTTGCTTTGATTTTTTTTATTTATACATTTATTTTTTAATTTATATTTAGTAACAATTTATTTTATACTATTGTAAAACTATAATAATTATTATTAATTATTATAACATTTTAATCCAATTTTTTCCTTTATCCACCAAAATGAATTAAAAAATAATAAACAAATAATAAAATTGAAAAACTAATTTACACTATTGAAATTAAAAAAGTTTAAGGGAATAAAAATGACAAAAATAGTATTATCAAATTGATTTCTCTACTATTTAATTGCCATGTTTTAGTTAGTATTATTCTGTTGTAATTTTTTTTAATAAGTTTCTTATTTTTTTTGGATGTAGCAAAAAATTTTCTCCCACTAAATAATGTATTTTTTTTTTTGGTGTTAGTTGTCAAGTTTGTGTCACTTACAATAATTACTAAGTAAATTTGGATTCAAATAGAAAATAATATAACTTTTCCAACGAATGAATGAATAAGTTAAAAAATTAAGCGAATGAATTATATTCAAAGGTTTAACTAATTAATAACAAATTAGATTTATGAAAAAATTTAAAGGAATTAACATACTAAAATATTTGTATAAAAAATTTATAAAGATATAGAATATGTTTATTTTTTATACATTAATATCTTTATCTTTATATTTTAAAAAAGAGTGAAAATTAAAAGTGCATGAAAATTATTGGACATATATTAATTAGGAAGTTGTTATTTCAAAGATGGAAGAGTTTTGATACATTCTCTTGTAAACTAATAAAAAAAATAAAGAAAAATTAATCAGAAACCTAAAGTACAGGTAAAAAAAAATATACTAATGGCATTTACAGAAAAAATTGAAAATATGAATGAAAGACTTGATCTAACTATGAAAAAATTGATTAAAAAAAAAATAACAATACTAGAAATTATAAATAAAATTTCATATTTTACCTATAATAAAATAGAAAAAAATTGGATAAAATTAATAATATAAAGAAAATATTAAAAAATATTAGCCAAGAAAAATTACAACTAAAAATAATGAAATTAGGAAAAAGAAGTATTCATTTATCCTAAATGTTATTTTTTTTTATAAATAGGCACCTAAACGTTAATTTTATCCTTATAAATCTTAAAAATTTATCTTGTTTTAAAATTAATATGATAAAATTTAATTTTGTCTCATTTAATCCTTAAAATTTAATTTTTAAAAAATAATAAACACTTTCAATTTCAATTTTAATTTCATTATAATTATATTTATCATTTATCATTTTAAAAATAGTTTTATAATTAATTTAGATTTTAAGTAATTATCTTAAATGTCAATCATTTATTAATATTTTTATTTTTAATAACAACTATTTTATATATAATAAAATATGAATTAAACTGACTAATAAAAATCTAGTGAAATCAGGAGCTAAAATATTATACATTACATAACATCCCTAAATTAGTTGAAGATATAGAAAAAATATATTATCCACAAAAAAAATTAAAAGAGAAAAGAATTAACAAATAATTAACAAATATTATCTACTTAAAATATAAAAAATATTAATAAGAAATGTTCCACATTTACTCTTCATTAAAATGGTAGCGTAGGTTAGATTTTTCCTAAACTGCCACAGCCAAATTGCCAGACACTGCACACTTTTTCCCCTTAAAAATTTTCATTTCCTTCGCATTACTTGGTCATGTCTGATTTTAGGGTTTCGCGGCCATGGGTTATGCTTTGCATGAACGGGTTCCCTGCTGAGGTCTTCGCTTTTTCTTTCTTCTAACATTATTTTCTTGCATGTTTATCTTTCACTCTGTTTCACATTTTTATTTCTTTGATTAATTTCGTGCGTCAAATCCGTGTTCTCGTTTCATGATCTTTTTAAAATTTTTCGGTACTTTGACTCTCTTTTTGATTGTTTCTTTTGGCTTTGAAATGATTGCATGTTTATCTCTCACTTGTTCTTTAGTTTAACTCTGATTCATGAATTTGATTCTCTGCTTAATTTTACCAATTCCATATTTTCATATCATCTTTGTTAATTTTCGGTTCTTTGGCTTTCTTTCTTATTGTCTTTTTTAGCTTTGATATAATTTATTAATAATTTCTCGGCTTATGTAATGTTTCTTTTATAGTACATATATGTATTTTACCTTTCTTATGTATGTAAAAAGTTTAGAGTTGTATATGTGTCTGTATGTTTGTTTGATTTGTGATTTTCTGAATTCTGTTGGATATTACCAAATAAATTATTGGCTGATTTTGCTACCTACAGCTCAACCATCAGTATTTCTATTCATTGCTCTGTGAATTTTTTTCTGCCCTCTGTATTATTGAGAACTAACAAAGATTTTAATTTAGTTTTTATAATTCAAATTTTTAATTTCATTTTTAAAGCCGGTATATTGAGAAAGTTTAAGTAAATCAAAATGAATATAGGAAGATGTCTTTGTGGAGGAAATTGAAAGTGAATGTTGTTCCTTTTTTGGATATTTTCCACATTTAATATTTTGGCTGATTCCATGTTCTTGTTTCAAGATATATATATATATACATACATATATATATATATATATATATATTTTTTTTTTTTTTAAATTTCTATTTTTCGGTTCTTTACCTTTCTTTTTGATTGTCTATAGGTGTGACATTATTTTCCAATTTTTTCCCTAGTACGGTGTTGTTTGCATGGTTTGTTTTCCTCGGACTCAATCCATTTGTCTCATAAGATATGAACATAGTTTTTGTATTTATTATTCGATGTGTGCCTTTAAATGTCTTAACTCAAAATGGCAGAGCTGAGGCAAGGTTTTTCAATTTTTTTTTTCAGTTCTACAGCTTTAGCCTTCAGAGCATTTTTTTAACTTCTCTTGCTGAAGAATAAGTTCCAAGTTTTTTATTAGTTTCATTATTTTAAAAAAATTATTTTATTGTTTGAGCCTGAGAGTTCTACCATACATTCTTTTTTCTTAGAAAGTTGTTTTGTCACACAGATGATTAGGTGCTTTATAAAATTTGTAATATTATTTTTTCCATGGTTAAAGTATTAGCTAAATAGTTCTTCAGCATACAACTTGAGAGGGTGACGCATAAATGAAAGCCTTGTTTGCAATATTTTGGAAGAGTGGAAAAATTATGTTTATGCCTTTTAAGGAACATATTTGTGAGAGAGAAACAGGGAGCGCACAAGAATGAAAGATCAAACACAATGAAAGGAGGGCCAATATATCGAGGTCTGGTCCAAAACTAAGCCTGAAGGTTAGATGTAGAACATTATTTCACAGGGGATAGTCACCCAAGTAGTCACGTGATCTAACCGTCATTATTTAGGCCCTATAAGGATTTTTTTTTAAGTAGTTAACTAGTTAGCTAGCTATAAATTGAAGCAGAGAAAAATGTAAAGGAAATCAGTTAACTGGTTGCAAGAAAGGGTCACAAGAAAAACAGTTAATATGTGCCTCTATAAAAATAAATGATGGTAAAAGTAAACCCATTTTCTGTTTTGAAGTTGTTTGCTATGCCATATAGTGTGTCTTAGCTCTGTTTAGAAATGTTATCCTCATGTATGTTTTCAATTTTCACTCATTTTTTGTTTTGAAGTTGTTTGCTATGCCATATAATGTCTTAACTCTGTTTAGAAATGTTTTCCTCAAGTCTGTTTTCAATTTTCCTTGCTCTTTCCATTCTATAGATTTTCTGCTAGAGAGCTTGGAGTTCTATCTTGAGTTGAGACAAATTTCTATTGTATAAAATTAGGTTTGTATTGTACAAAATTCTTAAAACTACCAGGCTTGGCTGGTTGTTCAAATACCTTGTGTTGATATGCTTCTTCAAGAGTTAGGACTTGATAAAAAGAGTTTGTTCTCTTGGTAAAATGTAATAGCAAGTCTTTGCAAAATTGATTTTATTCAAAATTAAATTTAAAGGAATGTGATTTATTTTTTGACCCTTTATTTAAAAGGAAGTTAGTAGGAAAATTTAGTATAATATTTTTATCGAAATCAAAAGCTACTTAAAGTTCCTTCAACTCAAAATCAATTTATCAACTTGAAATCAAATATATGAATTTTGTGTAAATTTTTTTTTTTTTTTTTTAATTTCAATGGAGAATCGCACATGCATGTACTTACTCGGATTTCTTTGCCTATTCTCTCTGAATTAAGATGTCCCACTCAAGCTAAGAATATAGCTAGAACATTCCTTTCAAGACTTGGACAATCCTCTTCCCTCAAGCTAGTATTGGACCACTTGAAAATGTTCACTCCTACAAATAGCATATACTAGATGTGTAGTTCTAGGTGTAAGATGTGTTTGTTAAATATGGCTAGACTACTCCTTATTGCAATTTGTCAACCATCTTCCCTTGAGTTGGATGTTTGGGAGTGAGTTAAGCCAGATCTGTTTCTAATGCCATTCATTACCAGATTTCCTTCTTAATTTTTTTTTATCAATATTATTTTTTAGATATTAATAGCCATCTGCTAGCTTCTTCTTCTTGTCTTTTATGTGTGTTTAATTTTACACTCCTTGCTCTTTTTAGGATGAGAATTGAACTTGGAACTTTTACTTGCTTGATGCATTGTTTGCTTTTTAAAGGATAGGAATTCGGTCCCCCAAAAATTTGAACCAAACAATAATTGAGAGAGCTATGAAGGGAGATGAGATGGAACGCATGAAGGGTAAGGTTAATCCAACCATGAGTTAATTTAAATCTTGCAGTCTATTTATGCTTAAAACTTCTATTATAATTATATTGTTTCACCATTTCTGAAACTTGTGATGTGAAAAGAATGGTCATAAAAATATATAGTATGAAGTTGAAATAGCCTATGGCTGCGAATAGAAATCCAAAAATGATTGCAAGAAATGTATATTTGTTGAAGCATGTATCTGACAAGCTAAGTCAATGATGATGGATGTATGGTTGAAGGTATAAGGTTTAAGGTTGTGGCTGAAATTTTTTTTGACTTTTGAGTGTTATCCTGTTTCACAGTGGTCAATCATTGTTACACACACACACACATATTATATTATGCTTGGAAGAGGAGTTGGCTTACTAGGCTGCAAGTGTATGAAAGCCAAAGGAGGAATAAGGGGTAGAATATGTTGAGAGAAATTTGTGAATAAATTACTCCACAACTTCTCCCAACCATTTACCAACCTCCACTACACACATGATACAATGTGGTTTTTCACCTTAATGGAACTACTAGTGCAAAAAAAATAACATTTTTTTTATGCATAAAATTATAACTGTCTCACAATCTAACTTAAATAAATTGTTACTTATAGTTTATAAACAAGTATGTTTATGTCATATATATAGAGACACAAAGTGTCTCGTCTCGCTAGTTTGCATATAATACATATAATATTAATTGAAGAAATTTAAATATTGTTTACAGATGATAAAATGTTTAAGTTATTCTATATTGTTGTTAGATAGTATTTTTAAGGAATGTGAACATATGGGCTTTTATTTAGGGTGATTGTTACCCTATGGATGTTATTTTCGTACATTTGTTTTACTATGTTATAATGGATAGAGCTATGCCTACCTTATGTAATATGTTATAATGGGATAGAGCAGAGACTAGGATATAGGAAAAGAGCAAAGACTAGGATAAAAAACCTTACCTGACTCATGGTGATGGAGAGCAGGATGTGAGTGACCATTTTCAGATTCTCCCAGTGAATTCAACTAAGCAAGTGCAGTGTAAAGTGAAAAATAAAATCAAAGGGAAAAAAATATAGCAAGGAGCAACTCCCTAAAAAGTACTATGTGAGGATTCGAAAAGTGGATATTTTAAACAAAGCTCCATGAAAGTTCCATATAAGCTACATGTACTAGCTTTTCTATAAGCTACTTTTTATTTGTTCATAAAAGTTATGCTACTTTTTTTAAGGGGATTTATTAATAAGTTTGTGGTCCAACTTTTACTTATAAGTAGAAGTTAAGTTAAAATTAAAGCTGGCCCAAACATACTCGTGGACTAATATCAGTGTGTTTTAGATGTTTTACATATTTACCGGTCTTTATTTGTGGTGGTTACAATTTCTTGGTGGTGGGTTCTTCTGTCATATGAATAATATGCTGTGCTGAAAAGATTGGTTTCTAATATGTTTGTAAAGTATCATTTTTTTTGTGAAGTGGTATCGTTTTGTTTGTAATGCCTAATAGTGTTTAACTATAGGGAAAAATTGATGCTTGGATTGGAACTTTGTTTACCTTCTTCAGTGACCTATTAATCCTATTTAATTTCTAACTAATGGCACCATAAATATGGACATGTTTGTCAAGGACATTTCTTGGCCAGTCATGAGATTGCGGTATTTGGTTTTTTATTCTTGAACCTAAAGTCTACACTTTTATGTTTCTCTGTGCATCTACATATTTCTTCATATGAAAATTTTTGTAGAAACTGTGTTGTATATGCTGAACCAATAATAACTGATATGGTAGAAAATTCTGATTTGCCAGCTCATGATCTGGGTCCGAGCAGTATATATGGAATTTGGAGGATTGATAGCACAGACAACAGTTTCTCAACGCAGTCCTTTCGGATAAAATATGCTAGGCAGGACAGTCATTTATGTATGATGATCTCATTCAACTTATCCCTTAGTAGATTTGAGGTAATGATTTTTCTCTCATTTCTTCTCTTTCTAGAGGGTATGGTCATATCAAGGGGAAAGGAAATGTTATGGTATGCCAATATTGATATTGGGTGCCAAGTTATCTATTGGGAACATTTCCTAGGTCATACCACACTGTTAACAAGGTTGAAATCTAATTTCCCATAAATTGTTTATACAGTCCATCACATGTGCACATGCAGAGACATAAGCATGTAGTGATTCTGACAACACAAGACCCTTAATGAACCATTCAGTTACTAATTAATTGATGTGTGGACATGTAATGTTTTAACAGGTTTAATCTGGCCATAGTGATTTACGTTTGAGGTTTAATAGCTGTGGCTACTGTATTTCTCTTTTCTTTGCTACATTCATTATACTTGCTAACCAGGGTTGATTGAGTTCCTATTCACAATGACAGTTAATTGAGTAGCATGATTCAAATTGATTAACTAAGTAATGGTGACATTTTTGAACCAAAATTTTCCCTAAACTACTATGATGAGCACACGAATTGAATCCAGACATGACCAAAACAATAGCAGAATTGGACATAAAGGAAGGATCATGTGTCTATCCAAATACAAAATGTCCTTATCCAAGATCATTCATCATCCCCAACCCCAAGATCTATATCACTCAAGTCATCTTCATCTTCTAATATCAAAAGTTCTTCTTCTTCATTATCTTCAATTTCATCCTCATCTTCTATTATTGATTTTCCCTTACCAATCTTGGCATTCAAGTTTCTTGGACCTATGTAATCAAAAGAAATAAGAAAATAATAAGGTCTAGTTCTAATTCCAACTTCCAAGTTCTAAACTAACTTTTAAAGGGAAGTACATATGAACTTAATTTACCTTTTTCCCTACAAGACAAAAATAGTTTATGAGTTTTCAAGATTTTCCAAGATATTTTATATACCAAACAATATGATTCAAAATTGTTTAGGACGTTATCTAGTTTTTTTTTCTTTATATTTTAGGAAAAGCCTAGGTCACCATTTAGGGTACATTAGGCAAGATGTTGTAGTTTTTAAGAATCATTCTTTTCATTGTCTTAGTCATAGTGTCACTACATTTTTAGGATTTCATTCTAGGTTATACTTAGAAGAGGATCCTATTTCTAATTTTAGGGAGTCTCATTTTAATAGTTTAGTTTTCTTTGCTAGGATAGTTAGAAGGATTCCTCTTAGGATCCACATTCCATTTTCTTCCTATGAACATGTCACCTCTTATACATGGTATGTTGTGTATGTAGGTGATAATTCTTATTCCATGCATCCTCGTGATTTGAGGACAAATCCTTTACAAGAGGGAGAGGATGATGGAATCATGCTTAGGAAGGCAAGAGGTGACATATTGAAGGAGCCAAGAGGAGTGGGCTAGACATGGAGGATTGGGCCAGTCAAGGCCCAATGCCCCCGATGGGCTTGAAAGACCCAAGTTGAGCTTCACATGGGCCATATCTTATTTTAGCTATTTTTCTATGTCTTGTATATATCATGTTAGTATAGGTTTCCCATCAAACTTAAGATAGAAGGAGTGGAAGATATCATATCCTATAACAAATATCTACAAAGACTACACAAGTGGATTCAAGAGACAAAGTACAAAGTCATGACTTCAAAGATAAGTCATATTACCATTTTATTTAATTTATGGTATTATAATGTATGCAATTATGATCCTCTTATGTTATCAAAGGAGTTTTGCCCTATAGGTTCTTTCTTTTAGCTATGATCATATTTTTCTTTGATTATCTTAGTATATTATGTTAATATCATGGTAGTTGAATCGAGATACAAATAATATATTAGAAAGCTTATTTTTTGAATTGTGAATCGTGTATCATGAATCATAAGATTCATGATCAATAAAAACATAGTGTATATATGTGCATACAAGATATATAAAAGCACTCTAAGCACATTTTAACATAAAAAAAATAGGAAAAAAGAAATCATACATAAATATATACTCCCTCCGTTTTTTTTTCATAGTCGTTTAAGGTTTTGCACGGGACTTAAGGAAATTATTGATATTTTAGTTTTCAAAAATATATATTACTTACTTTCCTATTTTACCCTTTATTTTTTTTGCATTTTTGAGACTGTTGAACTGCAATCTACTCTATTAATTATTAATGCATTGATTACACGTGAACTGTAACCTACTGTATTTAATTATACCTGTCCTTTTTTTTTTGTTTTTTTATAGTATTTTGTTGGGAACATATTGCTTTTATAAATGCATATTAACTTTATATGGGTAGTTGGAGAAAAAATAGGTAGACATTAAAAATAAATACACACATTGTTCAGTAAACATGTATTAATTATCAAGGGTAAAAATGGAGAAAAAAAATTAATAAGTCATTGATTTTAGTAAAATGACAATGAAAAGAAAACAACAAATTCTGACAAAACGACTATGAAAAAAAAATGGAGGGAGTATATAAGCTTCAAAACAAACAAAGATACAATTATACAAATAATAACAATCCCAAGGCCAAAAGAAATAATTGCACAGTTCAAAAACAAAGCCTAAAAAAAATCATTGTTGTTGCTAAATAAATGCATATACCAGTGATTGTTTGTTACTCTAATTCAACAATATAGCCACCCAAAAAAATATTAGTGTTCTTGTTGCATAAACTCATCAACAAGTGGTGTTGCTACCACACAAATTCAGTCATACAACCTCAAAAAGTAAATACAAAATGTCCTTATCCAAGATCATTCATCATCCCCAACCCCAAGATCTATATCACTCAAGTCATCTTCATCTTCTAATATCAAAAGTTCTTCTTCTTCATTATCTTCAATTTCATCCTCATCTTCTATTATTGATTTTCCCTTACCAATCTTGACATTCAAGTTTCTTGGACCTATGTAATCAAAAGAAAATAATAAGGTCTAGTTCTAATTCTAACTTCCAAGTTCTAAACTAACTTTTAAATACAAATAATTACCTCTCTTTCTTTTCTTCTTTGGAGCTCCCTCGTAAACACCAAAGCACTCATGTACATCCATCCATGAAGCATCAATAGGCAAGCAAGGATTTTGTGGATTAAGAAAATACCCTAAAAAATAAATAGTTAATCCATATGTATATATAATTGTATGTACTAATGTATTGCTTTACATAATAAATGTAAAATTACAATGACATACCAGCAGAATGAAGATCAGAATGCATGAATCTCCAACGCTTGTCAATTATTTCTTGGTATTGAGAATAATAACGAGAACTTTTTTGAATTGATTGTTTTGCTCGATCAATTGCCTCATATATAAAATCCATTGTTGGTTTCTCATCACTATCAACTAGCCTTAAAACTTTTACTAAAGGCTTTGTACATGAGTGCTTTGGTGTTTACGAGGGAGCTCCAAAGAAGAAAAGAAAGAGAGGTAATTATTTGTATTTAAAAGTTAGTTTAGAACTTGGAAGTTAGAATTAGAACTAGACCTTATTATTTTCTTTTGATTACATAGGTCCAAGAAACTTGAATGTCAAGATTGGTAAGGGAAAATCAATAATAGAAGATGAGGATGAAATTGAAGATAATGAAGAAGAAGAACTTTTGATATTAGAAGATGAAGATGACTTGAGTGATATAGATCTTGGGGTTGGGGATTATCCAAGATCATTCATCATCCCCAACCCCAAGATCTATATCACTCAAGTCATCTTCATCTTCTAATATCAAAAGTTCTTCTTCTTCATTATCTTCAATTTCATCCTCATCTTCTATTATTGATTTTCCCTTACCAATCTTGACATTCAAGTTTCTTGGACCTATGTAATCAAAAGAAAATAATAAGGTCTAGTTCTAATTCTAACTTCCAAGTTCTAAACTAACTTTTAAATACAAATAATTACCTCTCTTTCTTTTCTTCTTTGGAGCTCCCTCGTAAACACCAAAGCACTCATGTACATCCATCCATGAAGCATCAATAGGCAAGCAAGGATTCTCCTTTTCGGTGATCCACTCGTCATCAGATTCAATATCTGACAAGCTTATGAGATCATAGGTATCTGCATTCTTTTCTCTACTATTTCGCCTCATCTCAAGTTGAAGATTATATTTGACATATACAAGTGTATTTAATCTTTGTTGCTCCTATTGATTTTGCTCAAAATTTTCAAATGCAAAAGTCAAGGTATAGAAAAGTATGAAAGATTATTGACACTAGGTGGAATCTACAACTTCATAAGCCTTTTCATGCAGCTGCCTATTATCTCAATCCTAGGTAAATTATTTAAAATTAATTGTCATTTTAAGAACTACTATTTTCTTTGTGCCTAGTAGCTTATTTGTTTCTTACTTGGTTGGGTATCATTATGACAAGAACTTCAATCTGGATAATGAAGTGTTAATTGGTTTATATGAAACCTTTCAAAGAATGGTTTTGGATACAAGGATAGGAGTTATAATGGATCAACAACTTGAAAAGTTTAAAGGGAGCTAAGGAGATTTTTGAAATGGACATGAAAATAGCTATTAGAAATAAGAAACAACCGGGTATCCCTTTAATTTTTACTCTTTATAAATATCATAAAGATAATACATAATAATTAATAATAACTAGATTTGTAAACTAAATACACTTTTTTTGTAGCTCTTTGGTGGGAGAGTCATGGTGGAAGAGGTAAAGAGTTATAAAATGTGGCCATGAGGATTTAGAGTCTTACATATCCAAGATCATTCATCATCCCCAACCCCAAGATCTATATCACTCAAGTCATCTTCATCTTCTAATATCAAAAGTTCTTCTTCTTCATTATCTTCAATTTCATCCTCATCTTCTATTATTGATTTTCCCTTACCAATCTTGACATTCAAGTTTCTTGGACCTATGTAATCAAAAGAAAATAATAAGGTCTAGTTCTAATTCTAACTTCCAAGTTCTAAACTAACTTTTAAATACAAATAATTACCTCTCTTTCTTTTCTTCTTTGGAGCTCCCTCGTAAACACCAAAGCACTCATGTACATCCATCCATGAAGCATCAATAGGCAAGCAAGGATTCTCCTTTTCGGTGATCCACTCGTCATCAGATTCAATATCTGACAAGCTTATGAGATCATAGGTATCTGCATTCTTTTCTCTACTATTTCGCCTCATCTCAAGTTGAAGATTATATTTGACATATACAAGTGTATTTAATCTTTGTTGCTCCTATTGATTTCTTCTCTTAGTATACATTTGGTCAAATGTACTCCAATTCATCTCACATCTCCTGGCACTACATGTAAGACTCTAAATCCTCATGGCCACATTTTATAACTCTTTACCTCTTCCACCATGACTCTCCCACCAAAGAGCTACAAAAAAAGTGTATTTAGTTTACAAATCTAGTTATTATTAATTATTATGTATTATCTTTATGATATTTATAAAGAGTAAAAATTAAA